TGCAAAAACTCACTGTCAGTCTTTCTTTCCCCCTGTCTCACAACATGAGGACATTACACTGAAGCTGGTGATGGCTTTAAAGGCGCCGCTGTGTGGAGGACGATGTGCGTGTGGGTGCATGTGTCGCTGCGTGACTGCTTCTCAAGTAGCAATCGCAGGCTAAGTGTCACTGACATCCTCTTTTTGTCCCTCATGCTCAGACTCTCACCATGCTCCCCCCATTCCTCTCTCCCTTTGTCGGCCATTTTGATGGCTTGATCATGGATATAATAATATCTTTGAGTGACGTGACTTGGTGTCACTGGCCTACATAGTGCTGCTGTGTGCTTTATGTGTACATTTCTGACTCTTTTGAGTCTTGGACTTTGTGTGAGGCTCTCTGTCAGCAGTGCCACCCACAGAGGCAAATCCACTGTGGGGTGGGTGTGTAATTGTTTAAAGTTGAAAACGACTTCTCCCACTCAGTATCACCGTAAAAAAATATTTGAGTATTTCCAGTCAGTTGCTATTAATAACCATGTTAATAAAGACATTTGGGTCAACTATTTGCTACTGAAACAAGTAGTGTTTAAAGTAAGTAGACAATATTCAGTATGGTTTCACTGACTAACTTGTGCATTCAAACTGTACTCTTTTCACCCTCACAACATTTCCGCTTGCAGAACAAGTTCCCGAATTGACTCCCTATGATTTACCCTTTCAAGGTGTCACGGTAAAAGGAGCAACACGAAGTCATTATTATTCTCACAGGGTAAAGCCCCTGATCTGTTTCATTACCATCTCCTCATCAGAGCTAAATGCAGTTAGCACTAACAGCCAGAGCTAGTCACTGGCGGCTTACCGCTGACAAGGCTGATCAAAGAACAAAGGCCCGTTCACCTCTGTGATAGCACACACGCTCCAGGACTGCTCCGTGGAGGTTGGCTGTAATAATACTGTATTACTATGTACGGAGGTTGTTTTTTTTTAACTCGGCTTTGATATGCTGAGTCTTCTTAATTTCTCCTTTTGTAAAGAAGAACACACCTACATTCCTTTTTGTTGTAAATCCTCCTTTAGCTGAATCCCTGATAAATACATCCTAGAGCCAGATATGTCACTTGCTTGTAAGAAAAGTGAACAACCTTTAAGAAGAGAACTCCTCCACAGTATTTCATCTTGCATCACATCAACATGGTGGCAGATTGTCAATGTCAATATTCCTGATTCATGAACTATGTACAACTTTTTCTTTTGCACTTCATGACCTACTTACCTGGCAGAAATAAGCCTGTGAATTACAATCATTTCAAATAGTAAAAATGCTCTTAGTTCATCCCATTTACTCTTCTTTAAAGATCCCTGTGCCACACAGTAAATGTATTTGTTCAAACACTCAGAGAGAACTGTCACCATGGTCTCTTATCGTTTTATATCTTCCCATGTTTCTTGTTTAAACCTTGTTCTATATCTTGACCAGAAATATAAAAAACGGTCTCAGCATGCCTCTCTTGTTAATTAGAGCAAAGCAGCGGCAGCCTCATGCTGACGGATGGTACACTACTGAGCTTCTCACAGGCCAGGATTAATGGCTCCTGCCTGACTAGGATATGGTGTGTGTGTCAACTGTTTGCATATGGACAAGTGTTTCAGCGTCATATTTGCAATTCTAAGGTCTTGCCCCTGAGGACGAAAACAAAAAAAGGGAAGATGTGAACTCTGTGTCTCACTGGAGGGCAGTGAAGTGTTCAAACCAGACTTCACCTGAATGAGTTGTTGGCTGACTGTTTGCAGAGGAAGGACGATGAAAGCCTGGCACAGCTTCACACCACAGATATAGTCTGGTCTGTAGGGAATCTAAAGTCCTTGGGCCAAGGTGGAGATCTGTAAGAGATGGATTAAACCAAAACACGCACATTTGTTTCCATACTTTGGTGACTGCATGTGCCTTCTGAGGTATGATTCAATTTGGACATCTCCTCAAATGTCAATCAAACTGCTGAGATTTCAGTTTCTTACCATTTATCTCTTGTTGTCTCTAATGCCACCTATGCCTCTGTTAGCATGTTGATCATAATAACGGGCTAAAATGATTGATGATAATGATTTAACCGTACCTTACGGTTATGGCAGTACTTCCGTTTAAAACATATTTGTCACCAGTGATACAAACACTGAATGGGACAGTTTATACGTGTGTAGATGTAGTCAAAGACTCTTGAAGAGTTTAAGCAGAGTTTCTGTCAAAACTGCCAACGTTCCCCTGGGGATGATATGAGAGGAAATGGGTCGGTGGTGGCTCACATGACCATGATTTGGACAAGCAGTCGGGTCAGGGTGTTTGAGGCTGGGTACAGATTCCTCTTTCAGTCAAGTTGCACGGCTCGGCTGCAGCTCAGCCAAGCACTAAGCAAAAGAGCTGCCTTTTTTCTTGAGAGAATTGAGGCAGATGGACAAAAAAATGGCAAACACGTTGTTTTTTAGATTGAAACTTGTCCAAAGCTTTAAGTATTGTACATTTTGGCTGTAAAACAATGAAGACATTGTGGACTACAACTGTGAAAAACATAATGCCAAAAGCAGGCCGTGTACACAGTCCAGGTGAACATACACTGTCACACAGGGGCAGTTGCTTTGCCCAACTCGGACAGCTGCACACATGACTATAATCACAACAACCACACACACACATACAAATACACAGATACACAGATACTGTACACATACACACACACAGCGCACTCCTCTAGTTATCTCTTGAGGCTTGTTATGTTTCCTCAGTGTCCTTGGGATTTAATGGTACCATCAGTACTATAAAAAGAGCACAAAATGCTGCATCTCTCTGTCACAGTAGAGTCCCCGAACAGACAGAAATAACTCAATGAATATTCAATTTGGCCAGGGAATATCTCAAATCTATTTACCCATAAGGGACGCAGATGTGCTTAAAAGAATGGTTGATTAAGCAAGCGTAAGCTCTCAAATTGTTCACAAAATAAAATGATTTTGTCCCAAAGTGTTGACGGGTTTTATCATGTTTTTGGGGATGCTCATAATTGCTATTGAAACTGTTTCATGATCTGTTTGTGAATGACAGAGTTGTGGGATCTGGTTTGCATGTGTATTGCTCATGATGTAGTACATGTCTACATATTTGCAATACTATAATTAGTTGTACATTTACTATGTAAATAGACAGTACAATAAACCTGCCCACATGCGTCTCTAATTACTGTCTTGTCTGAACAGGACATGTTTCTCCTCACAACTGCTAATGAATCCTGTGTTTTCTAATTAACAGTTGCATACATGTATATGTAGCGTGTGTACAAACAAGAGATGAACTAACATGCAGATCAGGCTGTGTCACTCAGAGACCAAAATAAACCAGGCCCACTTTATCAATGCTCGAGGCATGTTGTGCCTGCTGCATATTAAAAGACGAGAATTTTCTGACGGCTTCTTATATTTAATAACAGTCCTACATACACTAAGTCATGTGTGCTTAGTTATAGATGAGAACACATACGATTATGTAAAAGAAAAAAAAGCAATCAAGTAACACCGGACTACATACTGATTTTAGCTGTCTGAAGAAAAGTAATGGAGCAACATACAAATATACAGACAGACGACTCATCAGAACCAGTGGATGCTCGTATTTGGTTTGTGTTCTGTGGTCATTTTGCTATCAGTTGCTAAGCAAGATTTTTTGGAAGCACTGTGCTTCCAACGTTGAAAATACAACCGCATTGGTTCTGTCTTAAGCCCTCTCTGCCATTATTAACATCACCCGGCGAAATATAGCCCCATATTATTTCTGTTCTCTCCCGTCTGCGTCCCACAGCTCTGTCTGTCCCCTCTGTTCTCCCTCATCTTTCTCCATCAATGTTAAGCTCACACGTCTGAGATCATGATTCTCTCTCTCTCTCTCTCTCTCTCTCTCTCTCTCTCTCTCTCTCTCTCTCTCTCATCTCCTCTCTCTTCTTCTATCTGTATCTCTCTCTGTCTCTGTTCTGGCTCTATCTCTCTCTCTCTCTGTCTCTGTCTCTGTTCTGTTCTGTATATGTCTATGTCTCTTTCTCTGCTCTATCTCTTTATCTCTCTCTCTCTCTCTCTCTGTCTCTCTCTCTCTCTCTGTCTCTCTCTCTCTCTCTCTCTCTCTCTCTCTCTCTCTCTCTCTCTCTCTCTCTCTCTCTCTCTCTCTCTCTCTCTCTCTCTCTCTGTCTGTATTCCTCCCACTTCCCTCCCTCCCCTGCTTGTATGCCCGTGTCATCTGTTGTCACTTTGACGCCAGGCTTTATAGAACAAGGGAGCATGAGCAGGGGTGAGCCTAGCTTTAATTGTAGACTGTTTGTGATGGAAATGAGATCTCACTCAAGAAGTAATGGCTAGGGATTAAGCTGAGCCCCAGGGTCAAGACGGGCTGCTCAGACTGATAATGACTCTGCAGCATTCCACTCAGAATCACACTTGATTTAATGATGTGTCTTTTTGCATACATATGCATGTTCATAGTGTGTGTTTGTGCACGCCAGAGTTGAAGGGTGTGATTTATTAAATATATTCTATCGCTAATGTCGGACTGGTGTCTTCCCTGCATATGAAACCAATATGTTAAGGTTCAGTGAATTGCTTGACACATATATTGACATGACTGAGAAGCAGCAGAGGAAATAAGACATTCATATTGCTCAGTCCTCTGTGGGAAGTAGAGAGCTATGCAAAACTCAGAAAGCTTATTTATCACTTGGCTCGGCACAAACTTTTTTATCGGCTTTCAACTGAATAGACCAAAGGGATTTGTACACAAAGTACATGGTGTCTGAAACTGCAGGCAAGAGCAAACTCTAGGCAAATAAGATGGATGATAAAAAGAGATGAATGAAAAATGAATAATTGCTGATTGACTTGACGTGGAAATGATCACATTGTAAGCTGTATACTGTTGGGATAAAATGCACTTTAACACATTGTATGTGACATTAACATCTTTTTGTTTTTGTGTGTGCTTCTTCCAGATCTCCATCTGCAACAATCATGATGGGACCCATTTCCGCGTAAAGCTTCGTAGTCCTACCATTTCAAGAGAAGAATGGGTTTGCGCTGAAACCATGAACGCATCGGTTGCTTTAGCAGACACGAGCAGACTAGTCTCCTCCACGGTTCCCTCACTCTTTTGCTCGTTTTCTTCTACTTGCATTCCCCTAAAAGAAAGATCATAATCAGATAACTCTTCCCCCAAGCGTTTGGCGCCAGCTCAAATTTCCTCAAAAATGAACTGCGATCTGGATTCTAGAGACTAAGATTCTATTTTCATCCCAGGATAGACAGCTGTGTTGAAATTATCATATTCCCCCCTCTTTTACTTTCCCGCTATTCCTCATTCCTTTCCTCCAATTCCCAGAGGCACCAACTGATGGAGAGACGAAGGAGAGAGTCAGGACAAGGACAAGAATTATAGCCCCACTGAGAAAAGGAACAAACTGCTGATTCTTCAAGAAAATTGGAGTAGGGCCACTGCAAGGATTACTATACTCGGTGAGCTTGATATCCCACTTCAGTGATAAATAATACCTTTTTGATTACATTTGAAATCTATTAGCCACAACAAAGCTAGACGTTACCTCTGGGGTGCATTAGACCTGTAAGGCATCAAGTAGAAAAGGGGACATTTGGGAACTTTGAGCATGAAAAGGGGGTTACGATTCCTGGGTTGGCCCCTGTGGCCTATAGCCCTCATCAGCCTACTCACTACAGTGGAGATGCTAGAATTTGGTGGGGCGCCTGGCCAGTGGGCCCGCTATGGACGCTGGGAAGCTGGATCAGTGGGCGAGCTGAGTTTCAGTCTCAAGACCAACATCAGCAAAGCCTTAGTACTCTACCTGGATGATGGCGGCAACTGCGACTTCTTGGAGCTTTTGATAGCAGGCGGGCGCCTCCAGCTGCGCTTTGCCATCCACTGTGCCGAGCCGGCCACGTTGCACATGGAGACACGGGTGAACGATGACCGCTGGCACATGGTCTTGCTGACCCGCAACTTCCGTGAGACCCTCCTGATGGTTGATGGGGAGACAAAAGTAGCCGAGGTCAAGTCCAAGAGGAAGGAGATGGCAGTGGTCAGCGACCTGTTTGTGGGCGGCATTCCACCTGATGTGCGCCTCTCTGCCCTTACGTCCAGCACAGTGAAGTACGAGCCACCGTTCCTGGGATTGATCTCCAATCTGAAGGTGGGGGAGATGCCTCCTACTTTGTTAAACAGCCAGGGCATTCAGAGCGACCTGGAGTACCTCTGCACCAAGCAGAACCCGTGCTTCAATGGAGGGTTTTGCTCAATTGAGTTTGGAGAAGTTCACTGCGACTGTATCCACACCAGCTTCAGGGGGAAGTACTGCAAGGAAGGTAAGGAAACCATCATGCTCTACCTGCTCTACTTTGGTTTTGTTGATGTTTAAGCTATTAATCAGCTGTAGTTAAAGATATCCTCTGTGTGCCTCGTTACTCCAAATAGGTCGTTTAATTCTTGTGTGGTTTTCTGGTCATCCGACACAACTCCGTCTCCTACAGGGACAGTGGTGTGAGAGGTATTATAGAATTATAAATATGCAGTTCTGATGTGTATAAATGATACTAAAATAGTCTCTTCTTGACCTTTTCCAAGTATCTTGCAGTGAAGTCACAAGTGGCTTGTTTCGCTGGTATGAGGAAGTAGGATCTCTGTGTTCTTATACTTGAGGGGCTAGCACAGCGAGGACTAAGAGAAAAGAGGGTAAAAAAGATTCATTGCTTTAAAGATTAAATTGTTGAATGAAAAAAACCGTTTCTATGGATTATGTCACTCATACAAGAGATTAAGACATGGCACACGTGCTCCTTTGAATGTTGATTGGATTGTTTTAATTAAACAATACTTAAATTCATAGGTACTGAATATCTAAACAAAAATATTTCGAATGCAAACTCTCACATTGTAGGTCGTCTCCACACACTTTATTTCCTGTTGTTTTTCTCCTTTCTTGTTTCTTTATCTGTCTCCTTCATGTCTTCCTTTCCAAGCCTATTGTCTCAGGCATGAACCCTGTTCTTCTTCATTTGCTCTTGGGATGTGCTCCTTTGCTGTCAGCTCATGTCAAACTTTGTTCTGCTTTACACCTCTGGCTCCCTCCTTTACTGACACATCCCATTTCCATATCTATGGTCTCTCCCTCCGCTTTACGTTCATCCATCTCTCCGTTACTCTTCATCCCGCAGCATTTCCTTGTCCCGCCTCCTAATTTCTCTCCTCAAGACTATCTGGCCGCTCCATCTCTCATCACCTCCCTCCCCCGCTCCATCCCTCCCAAGTTCACTCCCTTACTCCACTTATCTCTCTTTCACCTTTACCCGCTGTCAGCATACTCCCTCCTCTCCTCCTCCTGCACTTATCTCCCTCCTCTCCTCCCCCTGCACTTATCTCCCTCCTCTCTTTCTCTCAAAGTGTCTGCATCTCAACACATTATTTGTGCATTCTTTTATTCACTGTGCAGTCATTCATTCCAGATTACCTACTGTTTGCCCTTATATGTGCTATTAATAATGCATTGCGCAATCATTAATAATCAATAGACTCAGTAGCTCCTACCTTGTCCTGTGTGATGAAATGACTTGTAATTACTGGATCTTCAAAAGGTAGATAACTTCTTTGCTAGCAGCAATGTGACAATTGTTTAGTAGTCTTGTATTTTGGTGGCACGCAGAGATAAGCTCTGACAAAGCTGAACATAAATCAAGGCAAACACAATGTTTTGTTACATTTGTTTTTCTTTGACTACTGCTTTTGATAGATCTGAAGTAAAAATAATAAAATCAGCATGGAGCCAAGATTTTGATTAAGGCATTTTTGTTTTCATGTAGAAAGTCTGGAACCGTCTATACCGGCTCGATAAGCTGTCTAGTTTTATCTTTTTCTCTCTAAAGAAACTAAACCAAATCAGATTCCTTCGTTTCTTGTGACTGAGTTAGAGAGCCTTTAGCACAGCAAAAGATGTGCTGGACAGCTATATAGGTCCGTCTGTGTCTCTCTCCTCTTTTTGCTGTCTTTCTCTCTGTTCCTTCAACTCTTCAAGCCTTTTCTCCCTCGCTCTGTGAGCTCTGTGTCAGATTGCTGTGTGGTTGCTGGAAGCAGATAATGCCGCCTGGGTCTTGGCTAAATTGAGAGCAGAATACCAATGCAGTGCTACAGTGACTGCTGGAAACATTTGTCCTTTTGAAATGGAGAGAGAGTAAGATAGAGGGAGAGAATGGAGATAGAGGAAAGGAGCAGCGAAACGCAGCAAGAGGACATCGGAGAGAGAGAAATGGCTGATCAACAGTGAGAAATGGAGAGGAGAGCAAGAATGAGAAAGAAAGCGTGAAGATATTAATTTGCTCTGTGTTCATTTATTTTCAGAGATGTTCTCTGGATTGAGGGCCGTTAATTGGTTCATTATGGCTGACTGCCAGAGCAGTGATGTATCTATTGCTTTTATCTAACACGGGTGGCAATGTAAAGGTCTCTCTCTCTTTAAGAGCCTTTTAGATGTCTATACTAACACATCCATGTCTGGCTGTGTTAGCTCTGTGGTGAAGGAGCCATTTCAATGAATGTGAAAAGACTCCAAAACAGATTTTTTTACATGTGGGGTGAATAACCAGGAACAAAAGAAAATGGGCTTTTTTGGAAAAACACAACAAAAAACAAAGAAAAGATTTGTTTAATGAACAATGGATAGTTATACAAAATTGCAAGTGAATGTTGACTGTCCTTTAGGAAAATAAAAAGGGCTCAAAGGACAGAAAAGAGTTTTAATATTTACGTGACATTTCTTTTGAGGATATTTGGTGTAATATCCTGTTGTGGATTTAAGATGATATTTTTGGTGAAGAGCTAATAGTATTTCTCCTGATATTCAATGTCATTTTGATGACAAAACAAACAAACCAGTCTAATCCATCACCAATCTGAATAACATTAAAAGTTCATAGCTCGAATTAAAGTGTAGTGTTATTGGCGGTCACGTATATAAGACTCTGAAGGGGCAGGCTTTGATGATCACATACTACGAGAGAATGGAGTTTGACACAAAGAAGTTGCTTTCATGTTTGACTTCAGCACAGATGACAAGCGCCAAACTTTTACTATTTGATCTAAACCCCTTTATGTTACATAAATCTTGTCAAAATATGCACATTGGAAAATACTTTTGCAGCCCTTAAGTGCAGTTTTGGACAAATCATTGATATTAAATTCATTAGCCACAAAGGTGTTATTTATTCATTTGTATTTCTGACTTTTGAAATCATATTTAATATTGGTTGTCAGCCCAAAGATGACACGGTCAAATCTGAACATTGAATATGACAACTGATGTTTTGTAATTTAAGGAGGTTGTGCCATCTCATCTCCCTCAAGCACAGTCTTGTATCCCACACTTGTCTTTGTGGAGTAACTCTTGTTTTGTTCACTTGAATACCAGTGATCTCTCTCAGCTTTTAGCACCTTTTATCCAAATCTGGCAGGTGTTCAACATGTTGGCTCCTCTGCATACCTATTATTAAGTTGAATTGGGAGGATAAAAGTTAGAGGTTATGATTCAGCCGGATATATTTTTGTAAACTAACCACTGACAACACAAACAAAGTTCAGCTTTCACTTAACTGATATTACATTGGCTGCTCACAGAGAAGCAAACATGGACTACCTAGTACTGCTAGAATGTGCACGCTCTATGGATGTGTGTATGAGCACCTTCCTGCCATAATCATAGCTTATATTCCTAATGGTTTGCATTGTGAAGAAGTCGTTAAACGGGCAGGTCTTTTCCATTAGGGTTTGTAATTAAAGCCACTATGTGCCTCTGTGGGCCATTGTTTTTATAATTGATGCTGACCCTTGCTTTGTTCTCTATTGAACCCCAAACGGCAATGTGAGGCAATGCAGTTATGAGCTCTCAAGTTAGGGTAATTAGAGGTTAAATTAATTTGTGAAAGAGTAAATTAATATATTAATACCGCAGCAAACTATGAATAGACTTTCGGGTTGCCAAGAAGATGGCTTTGCACTTGACTTTAAAGTTATTTTTCAAGTTTATTTTTTTTTACAATATTCAGCTGATATCCTGGCCAATGATACCATAACATAATGATGTTCTTTTAAAAGACAAAACTGGACTTAAGAACAAAACCATGCCTTAGCATTATTGACTTCATGGATTCTCTCATGATCCCTTCACTGTAGCAATTTGAAAAACGATTCAGTGAATTTAATTACTTTCCTATTGATTTTAGAAAGGTCAGATGCTGACAACTGCCAGTGTAATTGGATTTATTAAGTTAAAAGGTAACTTAAAGCCACGCTCAAAAGTCAGTGCCTTGCTGCCCTCCGGTTAAAACGTATACGCTTGTCTGTCTTCTGACGGCATCTAGCTTCGGTTTGACCTGTAACCACACCCAACAGTTCAGTCAGACAACTCACGTGTTTCTTTAACATGTTTAGAAATGTATATTAGAAGCAGCATATAGTTGAGTTTGGCGACTAGGCTCGGGCCTCATCACTCCATAGATATACATAGCACCATGAGTGATGATTAAATAACTAACCCCGAGCCTACAGGTGGAAGCTGGGGTGGAAGCTGGGGTGGTGGTGGGGCAGCGAGCAGCAGCGACGTAGAGCTGCGGCAATAGCAGCAGCAAGCAATGCATGGAGAGAGATCTGGCAGGTTCAATAGAGCGGCATATTAAGGAGACTCCGTTTGGTTGGTTGTAGAGGGGCAAGGGGGCGTTATGTATGAATGCAGCATACGTGCTCGAGTTGACTGCCTGAACTAGCTCGCAGGCTTCACCCCATTTATGTCACTGGGCCATGAAGAACATCTGTTCATCACTGCAGCACGGTTAGAAGTCAGAGCAGTGGAGGACATCAAATACTTTGTGTTATTCTATAAAATCCCATTTTGTCATTAGGGTGAAAGCATGTCTTCAGAGGAGACATTTCAGCCATGTTTTTCACTCATATTTCTAATGATTAATTATCTCTCTCCCCATGCTTCACTAACTGCTTGCATTACACTTGCGCTCTACACACATGCATCCTGAAGTGTATTTTAGTAAACGTAGTACAAAGTATTGTTCCTGAACACATCCTTGTTACCTAAACAGAACCGAAGCTACTGCTGCTCTGCTAATGCTGCTTTCACTGTGCAGCCTCTGTATGTCACAACCAGGAGATTGGGAAATGTATAAATATAATGTATAATTCTCTATACATTTGGAACTTTGATGTGTTTACTGAAACCTATAAGAATAAGGTTAAAACATAAATATTTGTGGTAACGCTGCATTCAATTGATCACACTTTGAGGGATAATCGACATGAAAAATGAAAT